CTTCAGGTGCCGATTCCATTCGATATGGAAAAGATTTCAAGAGCTTCGATTATATGGATAGTCCTCACCCGTTGCAGCAGAGCTGCAGCCAGGTTCAGAGCTGGTAAGTAGGGGCTGGTGTGGGGGGGGCTGGAAGAGAGGGTAGAGGGGGAGCTGGAAGGGGGGACCATGGGGGGGACCCCTGCCAGGCCCCATCCCCACCCGCTCCCCCAGCACCCCGTGCTTTAAAAAAAGTCCCACTTACCAGGTGCTGCCCAGCAAGGGGGTGATTCCCACTGTCCCGCACTGCCCCACACTGCATGGTCCCCAATCCCCACTTGCTCCCCTGGCCCCACCTCCCCCCATGGCTGCCATGCCGAGCCCAGCTCTGGCCTTTTAAATAAAAAAAAAAAAAAACAACCCTGGGACTCACCACTCCTGCAGCAGCCTTAGGGCTTCTGGAGATTCGTGGAGAGCCCCCCACATGGCATGGGGCAGTGGGGAGCAGCAGGGATTGCCCCCCACTGGGCAGGAACAGTGAGTCCAGGGTTTTGGGGGGGTTTCTTAAAGGGCTGGAGCTGGGGTGGGCAGGGCAGCCATGGGAGGGACTGGGGGGGACAGGGGGCATTGGGGGGCTTGTGTAGAGCCCCCCATGTAGTGTGGGGCAGTAGGAGGCAGCAGGAATCTCCCCCACCACCCAGCAGCACCCAGTGACTCGGGCCTTTTTTTTTTTTTTTTTTTTCCAAAGTGCTGGGAGCTGGGGCAGGCAGGGGATGGGCCTGGGCAATTTGGAGATTTGGCAGCAGCTGAATCTCCTAAACAGATTTGGCCCAGTCGATTCGGGACAGTGATTCAAATCACCAAATTGAATCACTGCCCCCCTGTCACTGGTAAGTGTTATAATGCTTTGGCCCCGCCCCTTGTTCCCTAGTGATGTCAGGGTGAGACCAGGCTCTGGTGCCTCCTAGATGGTTCGGACACTGCTCCTACTCACCTGCCACATCTTTGATGTTGGTTGATGGGGAGGCAGTTCCCGGTCAGTAGCTCCAAAGGGTTCTTGACCCTGGTCTTTTCTTCATGGGGCTCCAAATCTCCCCTTTACCCCACCCTTACTACATCCACAGCCTGGGAAAACACTGCTCCCTGTAGCCTTCCCCAGGATGATCTCACCTCATCCACATTACCTGCCTTGACCTGCTTTCTGGCTGTCAATCTCTCCCGAGTCTATCCCTTGCCTTCGGACCAGATTTCAGGCAACTAGACCTGCCCCGGCCTGGGCTGACTGTAACTTAAGACAACTTTAACTGAAAAGTTGTTCAGCGTCTGCCAGCCGGCACCTGGGATTCAATCTCCCAGGACCCCCTTGGCCCCCTGGGGTGGGGGAGGGAATCCATCTGTCTCTTCCCTCCTAGTAGGCATGGGGGAAGGCCACCTCCCCGTGTGACTTTCCCAGGGCCCAACTGATTCAGAGTTAATCACTCCTGGTCCCACCACCTGGTGGTACTTGCCACTCCCACGTCGGGCTCCAATGCAGCCGCCTCCTGCTTCTCCCTCTTCGCCGTGCTGCCCGAGGGGGTTAGCCATCCCTCGTTGCCTGAGCTCTCTGACGTGGCTGTGGCTGTGCTCAAGCATGGTGGGGAATTGCTTTTCCCCGCTGAGGCTCCCCAGTGGGGTTTGGGCTCCCTGTTCCTTCTGCTGGGATTCCCTGGCAGATGCTCAGCTTCCCCTCCCTATGCTCGGGGCCGATGCTGCCTGGCTCTGCAGCCAGCGTCTCCCGGCCGGCGTTCCACTCCTCTCTCCCTGGCCAGCTGACTGCCCCTCCGGCTGCTCTTTGAGCAGCCCGCACTTTTCCGAAGCCCTGCCCCACGGGCTCACTGATTTGCAGGCTTAGGCAGCTCCAGAACTGCTGAGCTTGCGTCGCATTTCTCCACAGCTGCTGCTTGTCTTAGTCCCTGCAGTGAGTACCACGGCTCGTCGGGTGGGGTCTTGGGATGTCTTTTGCCTCCCCTCTCGCACCCCCGAATCAGATGAATCGGAAGCAAATACTAGCTGCTTTGCACAGGCCTACTATGCATCCTAAGCATTCCACCAAGAGCAGCTTCTTGCTGACAGAACTGGAAGGCTTTCAGCTCAATCAAGACAAAAAAAGAATAGACTAACAAATGAATGCACCACTAAGCCTGTTTCTATTTCTCAAAATCTCTTGCTTCTGGAAAAATGAGTCAGAAGCACAATTAGTGAAGATGAAGCGTGATGATAAGCTAACCTTGCCCACAGAGACTCATTGGTAAAGCCATCCTTTAGCAAAAGAGAATGTGGTTCAAGTAGTTCTAAATCAGATTTGCCTCTACCTGATTCTGAAATGGAACTAACAAGTAGTGTTTAGTATTTAATTTTTTTTCCTAATCAAATATTTCAGTTCAAATACTTGTGGCTATTAAGACATTAAATTAACACAGGAGTGCTTTTTTAGTTTTGTTTACTAAACATAAGTCAAGTAAACATGCTAAAATCAGATCACACTCTATTTACGGCATTGGAAAATTTTCTGGAAAACCCACATCTCTGCCTAAGATATAATGCCATCCTCGATAATAAAAGGATGGCATGGATCAAAATTAGTCCCAGACGCTGATGCTAGAGGGTGGGTATCTGCTATCATGCAGCAAAGGAAGTGATTTGGTTTATGTTTGCCATACTTCTAAGATGATCTGATCACTGGATCTGGGAACAGGAATTCACTAGGTTCTTTATGCCCTCCCATCTTTGTTTGCCTTGCCTATTTACCTTGTACACCCTTTGAGGCAGGGACTGTCTCCATCTGTTTGTGGAGCACCAACCATGACAGAATTCCAACTCTGATTAGGGATTCTTCCATAAAAATTTACATACCCTAAATTACTATCTATCAGACAGTCACACTTGAATGAACCCGCTAGAGCAGAGGTTCTCAAGCTGGTCCACAGACAGCCACAGGTCCACAAGCTCCATTCAGGTGGTCCGCAGAAGGGTTTCAGAACAAATCAAGAATATCTGTACTTGTAAGGAAAGACTACTGATATTAAAATATTAATTGTGTGCTTTGATTTGTAGAACAAAAAAAAAAATAGTCTGGTCCTCTAAGACCCTCGGCAATTTTCAAGAGGTCTGTGGAAAAAAAAAGAAAAAAGTTTGAGAACCACTGCTCTAGAGGTCACAGGGGTGTCCAGGTGCCCTTTACTACTCCACCAGCGTGCCATGATGTGCCAGTCAATGGTGTCAAGTATTACCCCTACGCCTAAAGCTGTTCCAGGGTAGGGGAACCCAATAGCTCCTAAACAGGTTGGTTCAATATAACAACAAAATTCAATGGTTTTGGTTCACAGGGTTTTGTGAGTAATTTTACTTGTTCACACCAGCTGAGTTTTAGACCTGAATGAAACTCATTGTGAATCTGTGTTTCAGCTCAATGGAGCAAAAAGACCCAAGCCCACAGGAGGTGGAGACTTTCAAACCTACTGAGATCCTAGGCTTGTGCAAACCAGCCCAACTCCCATGAAGTCAAAGAATCTACGCTGATTTACACCACCTAGAGATGTGGCCCTTTTTAATGAGTTTGTCCAGCAGACAGGCTGAGGGGAAGAGCGAAAAATGACAGAACTTTCAATCAGGTCATGAAAACTCCTTGGGGCTCTCCCAAGAGTTTGATTTCCTCACTGGAACAGCAGATTCAGAGACACTGCCTGAGCATTCAGAGGACTTCTAATCCCATGCAAAGTGTAACAAGCAGGCAAAGAATCAAAAGCATCAGACCAAAAGATACCTGGTGGTAAAAGGCAGATTTGTGGGGCTTTGACTTACCAGAGCTCATTGTGGCTGAGGGATTGGCTTTTTCCACTTCCAGATTCTGATTTTCCCTGTTTAAATGAAAGGTAGAAGGATTACACAATGTTTCACAAGCTGCTTGAACAGAGCAATGGAAGCTTGCAGCCCTTGCTGTGGGTGGCTCCACTGTTCTCCAACCTCTTCTGTACATCCCTCCACTGCTTTGTGCCCAAGATGATTTCAAGGACCTTATCAGACCCTTTTCAAAAGGAAGACTACTGTCTTCTCCACAGCCCTGGCCTGCAACCTATTCTTGGTCTACCCATACAGAAGCAGGCATGACCTACATTGTCCATGAACAATCTCTTTTCCCACTGAATTCAGACAAAGTTCCATTTCCTTTGGGAGAAGCAACCAGAAATACCCCAGATTAGCAAAAAGACAGAACCCAACTGAGCTGAGATCAAAGAGAGACAGCATTTGTTGCTAATTAGCAGAAGGAAAATAAGAAACAAAAAAAAGGCTTCCACTCAATTCAGATTCTATTGAAGGAGTCGTCAGACTAGGTCTAAACTCCAAGTAACAGGATATTAATTAATACAGATTAGCCTGCCTGTAATAAGCTAGAAACCTGTCCAACTTCCAGCAGCCCAGGAAACGCAAAGCATCTTTAAAAGGTATATCAGCAGAAAAACCTTTGAAAGCTAGCGACCCTTGCAGAGAGGTGCTTAAATACCATTGTGATCCCTCTGTGCTCAGCCTTAGGGCTGTCTTTCCTGTTCTGAAGATGTTACAACACAGTATTTTTATTAGCTTTGTCCCACCTCTTATAGCCTTCCCATGCCTATTTGATATCCAAAGCATACAGACAATACTAACTTGTACCTCGCTTGCATCACAGGACTTGTGTGTTGGTTTGCCACTGAAAGGTGGCTTTGGTGATAGCTGTCTCTTCCTTTCTCTGAGCCACTGTTTCTGGCTAAATGAGTTCTCAAACTCTTCAACCACCTTTTTGTGGAGCATAACTTTTCATCCAGATTTGTATTAAAAGACTTTTGCGTGGAAGAGGATTCTTGGTCACCTTTTCTGTCAAGTTTCAGTAATGGACCTACAGCCTTTCTGAGTTCTTGGCACGTAACATACACACAAAGACCAAGCTTTCTGGAGGCAGCTTTATAAGGACACTGGTGGGGATACAAATATCCTACAAACAGGATCAGTCTTTAGTCCCAAGCAGGCAATTATTTTGGGCGGAGGACTACTTAACAAGGAGTTGTCGAGGGCTGCATGGGTAGCCCCAGCCGCTGAAAATTGCCCCAGCCCTGGTTGCCATAATCTTTGCCACCAGAAGTCCCTCCCCTTGCCCCCTGAAAATACTCCTTTTGGGAGTGGGGGATTGCCATCTTAGAACCAGAAAAAAAAACCCAAATCATACACCAGAAGTCAAACGATCTGGGGAAACGTCTGTTCACCAGAGTGCCCCGGGAGATGACAAGGTCAAACGGTCACAAACTCCTTCAAGACCGTTTCGGGCTGGACATAATGAAGAATTTCTTTACTGCCTGAGCCCCAAGGTTTGAAATAGACTGCCACCGGAGGTGGTTCAAGCACCCACTTTGAACATCTTCAAGAGAAATTTGGACGTTTATCTTGCTGGGATCTTATGACCCCAGCTGACTTCCTGCCCCTGGGGTGGGGGGCGGGACTTGATGATCTTCCAAGGTCCCTTCCAGCCCTAATGTCTATGAAATCTATGAAACACCTACTCTAACATATTTTAATTTTATAACAAAAAATGTCATGATTTGTGCTTGTGTAATGTATATAGAAGGGATTGCATAACAACTCAAAAATAAAGTCTCACTCTTTTATATTGTGTGTGTATGATGGGGTTGAGGCTGGGAGGGGTGTATGGTGGGGCATAGTATGATGGGATTTGTGAGGGGGTGTGGCTGTGTGGGGGGCATAGGGTATGTTGGGGTGTGTGTATACGTCTATAGGAGTTGTGGGGGCAGGGTGTGGGTGTATGAAGTTTCTGGGGTGTGAGGGAGGGTGGGGGTATGGGGACCCCCCACACACTCCGCCCCCATGGTGTGCAGCCCCCACTGCTGGCAGCAGGGGGGGTTGGGGGGACAGATGACTCAGGGCACTTGTGCCCTGCGCAGGGTCTGGAGCCCAGCAGGGCATGACTCTGGCCAGCTCTGCACAGGGGGCGGGGGAGGAGTGCAGCCTGCCCGGCAGCCTCTATTGCAGGGGCTCCACGCCGCATGCCCGCAGCTCCTGCACTCATAGTGGGGAAGCCCGGCACTGGACTCTGTGGGGAAACAGGGGGTGGGGCTACTGAGCCAGCCTATAGGGTGAAATAGGTAGGGGGCATGAACACTGTAACCACTGATCCAAGAAGTCACAGACCCAGAGCCCAAGCCACTGTCTCATTCTCTAGGCTGTTTTTGGTGTTGTAGCAGGTTATAATGCTTCCCAACATGCCACTCTTCAATTGCCCAGCTTCATGAAGAACAACTATGGTGCTACTGATACACTGGAGTCAAAGCCACGGCCCTTAGTCTGATGGCTGAATTTCACCCCAAAAATTGGTTGGAGAGAAGGCACAAGTATAAAAACAAAACAAAACCCCACCAAATACTGGGAACTAGAGATACCCTGAGGAAGCCACCAGTTATGACTGTATGCTCAGTAAACCTATAATACTTGGTCCCTTGGGCATGCCCCTCTAACAAGAGCTGCCAATACTTACTGATTTATTTAAATATTTTATTTCCTGAACTTGCCACTGATACACATCTTTGTTGGCAAGGCCTTAGGGGGAGCTTGCAGCAGTTTTACAATACTACTTCAAGCTGACTTCTGTGCCAAGCAAACAGTGCAAAGTGAGATGCACTTTGAGACAGTCAACTGACACTGCCAACCACACACTGCAAACAGACTGCCTATCTGTTGGAAAAAACGCATCTGCTTTTTGTCCCTACCTTTGCATAGCAGACCTGGTGGGCCCAATCCTGAGCTGTTGTTAACTGGCACAGCTCCACCAACCAAGAATGTAGCCCAATGGATTCACCAATAATGCACCTTTGAAACCTGTGAAGTTCCCACTTGGCAGAAAATGTAAATATTTTGCTATTGTCTTACAGAGAGAAAAGAGTACTTTAAACTACAAGTTCTTCAGCACCCTCCAGCCAAGCTCTGTGCTAAAGCATTTGAAAAAGAACATAATATTTGTGGACAAATAAAGCTATTATGAGGCAAACTCATCTGGGTCAATACATCAGGCACCAAGTTATTTCCTTGGTTGGTCAGAAGCCCCCAGAAGGGATTGGCACTCAGTGAGTTTCAGCTTAGTGCATCCCGCTGTAGGGGCTTGGCTTTCAGTGCAAGGCCCCCATAAAAAAGCTGATCTGGGAGGAGAAGGAACCTGAAGAATTACCAGGAGTCGGAGGCACCATCATCTGCAAACTCCAAGGGAAACTCAGAATCAAATGCTTTGCTGGATCAGGGCCTGTACCCACTCCTCTGAATTCCTCCCATCATTCCAGCCAGCTACAGGATTCTTCTTTGCTTCCTGTCCCAACTAGAAACTCTAGATGTGCATCTATTTCTATATTACTGATCTTTGTACATAAAGCATCCACACTCTGAGGTAAAGATGAAAAAACTACATTGAAGAAACTTTAGGTAAACGACACTGCAGAAAAACATTGGATGGTAGGAAAATGAGCACGCCAGACCTTCCCTTAACAAGTGCATCTTTCCACATTATACATTTCTTCTGTGTTAATTCAGTCCACTCCTTAACCCTGAGCACCCTCGCCAAATGTTGCTGAGCTAGAAAATTAACTGTATTGAGATGGAAACACAGCAAAATGGGAGTCAAGGATTCCACATAACTGACCCAGTTTTTCTGTTTTAATTTCCTGTGTAAGTGCCTTTTGTGAGATGCTGTAGAGAGGAAAGTGAGAGTCACCTACACATTTCATAAAGGCCTGCTCAAAATGACAGCAATGAAAATGCTCATACTGAATTCAAGGGGCTCTGACACAGCTTTCAAAACTGTATGGATTTCTTATGAACTACAAGCCAGCATGTACAGTATCTATATTGTTAAGATTCTTGGGTCTCTTTTCAGGCAAAACAGGAACCAAAACTGCAAAGGCACTCTGAATTCAATGGCCTCCTTTCAGAATCACCAGCCTTGGCATACATGGTAATATAAGCCCATAATTAGGAGGAAAACACAAAGAAATGCACAATTACCAGGCTGTAAAACAACAAATCACTTTTCACTTTAAGAGGTTCTGGATATAAAAATAACATGGTAATTATAGAAATAAATTTCAAAGCAAAAAAAAAAAAAAAGAAATGGAGGAGGTCAAGTTAATTAGAAACAGACTTAGAAAAATGACTTTTTCACATGTTCCCAAGCTAATTAGCAACTATAAGATTTAATTAATATAAATGAGAAGTTAGTGTATATTAACTGTGCTGCTAATCAGTGCTAATCAGATGTTACCTAAATATTCAGCTGAATTCACAAATAGTCCAGATCCCACATAGCAGCCTGGATGGGCCTGTCTGGTATAGACTAGCTAGCTTAATAGACTCTGGCTTTAAAAACTGATTTGCTTCAGCTGAAGGTGCAAGCAACTATCATCTTGATTCAGAGAAGCATTCAAAATTATGCTAAAGGACAAACTTGTGCTCCAGTGATTTCCTGAACCAGGTCTGCAGTTTATTCTATGTGGCTCTACTATGCTCAGCTTTAGGCTAGGGACAGACATTACAAACAAACCAGTTTAAGCGATCAGAAACTGGTTCATGAACAACCCGTGCCCCCAGCGGCTGTGGGGGGCACGGTGGCAGTGGAAGCACAGCAGTGGTAAGCAGGGGAGCTCCCACAGCTGTCACCGGCACTGTCGGCTGTGGAGGGGGGAGAAGGGTGGCGAGCATCAACCAAGGATCGGTGACCACCCACAACCGCTGCTGGCAGCAGTGGCAGCAGCCAGCAGGAATTGTGGACTGCCTGCAGAAGCTGCTGGCAGTGGCGGCAGTGCCTTTTTGTAGGGGGTGCACCACCACA